CGCTCTAGCCTGATCACGCGGTGTACAGAAAAACGAGTGCATGGATGTTTACCACGATGATGAAAAGTACGCTGACAACGGCCAGAGAGGCAGCGAATCAACCCGTGGTTGAGTTGGTTAGGTGGACAGTGGTATCCCCAACCCACCAGGGTTCAAATCCTGGTGCTCGCATTATTCTTGGATTTATTTCAGGATTTCCGGTGATGCGCTTTTAGTGGGAGGAGACGTTCCCGTCGACGACGAGGCGCCTACGCTGACTTCGTAAATCTCAAGATGATATGCCGGCTCAGTCTCTCGGAGGTGCTCATAGGGGTAGGGTGTGCGTGTGTGCGTTCATAGGGATGAGTGTATGCGTGTGTATATGAGCGCTTATGTCTGTACTGATGCTCAAAAAAAACGGCCAGAGGGGCAGATCGAGCATACCGGATCGATTTCAACCGGTGTTGGCGCTAGAACGGCGGGTTGCATAGAGTGATTTATATGTTCAACTAGCAAAAGAGCTCATTTTTTTCGAAACGGAGGCAAAAGAATTGCCTCGTCGATTAATTAAGAAGAAGAGAATTGCCCGGTTAATGTACGGAAAACCGGGCTAAAACCGACCATAATCGGGTTACTCACCAATCATGACCCCACAAGCACTCGTGCAACCCGCCAAACCCTCCTAACACGCAATAACTCCTCACGCTTGTACACCACAATTTTGAACCCGACAAGAACATCCCAACGAAAGATAGTGGACCACACCGAAACCACGTATGACGACCCAAACCATGAGGATGAGCCGAGGGACCGGGAATCATCCATTAAGCAGCTGCGGGCGCGGCGCCACTCTTTTTGCCTTTGCACCTTGGTGGCTTCTCCTTCACTATACCAGACCGAGGGCAGTCACTCGCCTTCTTGTATTTGCCCTTGAATGTCGTTCCCGTCAGGAGGCAATCAATCGCCCTTCCAGTTCCAGGGCTAACAGTCTCCACGCTAGCAAGCAAGTCACAAAGCTCTTTTGCAAAGAGAGCATTGGAATTATCCGTTGGCGGGGGTGGAATGGGTGCAGAAGCCACATGTGAGTGCGCAGCCGAGTTCACCTCACTCGACTCACATGTCAAGGTTGAATCATGTCGCTCACACGTGGTTGCTTGCGTGTCCACCATCATATGCTCCACTGATAGAGGCGAATCAGAGCTCGCACATAACACTTGAAGCTCGGGCATCACCTGTAGCACCGGAGGCACAACCACGGGAATGGTCCCGCCCTCAACGGTAGACATCACAATGGGCAAGGCAGACGGCGACGATGAGTTGTCCATAGCTCTAGGGGAGAAACAACCATAGAGCTCCCCAACTCTGTTCTCCACTGAGCCACCAACATCAACCTCGCTAGGAGGATGTGGAGCAGGAGCGGATTGCAACACAGCCGGCACAAGAGAGAGCTTTCCCAGAGCAGCCTCCGCTCGCTCTAGAAAGCTCCCAACACGCACCAGGAGTTCAGCCTGGGCAGCTAGAGTGGACTAGAGCAGCACATCAGATGGGGTTGCCGATTCAGCATGAGCGGAAACGACCGATGCCCAGGACCTATGGTGAAGCACCTTGGAGGGGAGCTGGGATACCATCGGACCATCACAAGGAGTTGGAGCTCGGTGATGCTCGGTGTCGAGGCGAGACCGTGGCGGCATCGCGAGGCATGCAAGTGAGCTGAATGGACGCCAAGCATTGCGACACCCACGCGCCAAGTGGCCGTTCTCCAAACAGCGGAAGCACCTCAAGGGATCTGTGCAATCAGCGGCTCGATGACCAGGAGCAAGACATCTGCAACACCTACCAAAGAGCCAAGCCGGAATGGGACGAGGGGGTAATTCCGGAGTTGGCGACTCCAGACGGCGCCGGCCACGCCGAGGCAGCACATCTTGCCATCCTCCAGTCGCCTCCCTCTCGGGCATCACACACTGATCAGCACGCTGAGCTGCCGGGACAGAGCTTTTGGCAGCCGATGGCGTCAATGGGGCCAACTCCTTCTCTTCCTCATCGTCAACATCCCCGTCACCAAGGGAAGCCCAGGACACATGCCGCCCCATGTCTAAGTCGACCGGGGACGCGTCGGCGGGCGCTGTCGGGGACGATTCGAAGATGAGCGCTGCTGGAGACGAAGCGGGAGCGGAGGGCTCTGTCGAAGCCGAAGATGTCGTCGCCTCCTCCCCGAGGAGCGTACGGGCCACCCTTCGCCCTTGGACGGTTGGGTCGGCGCGGCGGGAGGCGAGGGCGGCCGCGGCGAGAGCTGACGCGGGGGCTGGAGCGGGAGGCGGCGGGTAGCCGGCGCTTAGCACGACAGGAGTGGCCGCCGCCGTCGCGACCGACGCGGATGCGGGCCGAGGTCGTGGGTCGGGGCGGCGAGAGGCGAGGGCGGTCGCGGGAACTGGAGCAGCGGGCGGCGAGGAGCCGGCGCTCGGTACGGCCGGAATGGCCGCCGCCGTCGACGCAGGCGCGGGTCGAGGTCGTGGATGAGCACCCATGGCGTCACCCCGCGAGGAGAAGCGCGTAGGTTGCAAGAGGGCGTCGAGAGGATGCCGGATCTGGACCGGGCAGGTGCAAGGGAGGCCGGAGAAGAGAGATCAGGGCGGCGGCGCCGCCGGCGCAAGCGGGCTCGCGAGAGCCATGTCCGCTCGTACTTTTTACCGCTCCCCCGACTAAGCAGCACTAGCAAAAGAGCTCATGCATTGCTACGGGGTGAGAAAATTATGCCCTTCAAGTCAAGCGACCGACAACATAATACCTATAATGATTATAGATAATATACAACCCATATTGTAAATTAAAATCAATAAAACTGATATTGATAATTAGACATGCTAATATAATACATTTAGTTGATGGACTACATGACACAAGCTTAGAGAACGGTTGTCATGAACCAAAATGAATCAAACTGATTAAGTGATTAGATCTCTATCGGTTACCATGGAGGCAGGGGACAAGGCTCGTTTGAATGGCTCAAAGATGCCATAGACTCATAAATGAAGTTAATGAAAGTGATGACGATGTACTGTACTACTCAAGCGTAACAGTTTCAGTAAACAATGTCTCACATAGTACAGTTTTGTAGAAGGAAAATAACTTAACCTCTTGATGTAGAGAATGCAACACAGATGCTCAACTACCTTACAAGTGTGTATGAGGAAGGATATGTGAGGTCAGCTCTGATTGCCATGGTTCAATCGCTTCGACACGGAAAAAATAGAGTGGATATCACCTCCGACAGCAAGGCTTTCTTCTTCTCCCCCCTTCTCACTCCCACTGTTAACCGCAAAAAATTTCAGACACCATGGTTGCTTGCTTTCCTGACAGCTAATTCACAGATCCGGACACACTTTGCAAGGCCAAACTGGAGAGAGGTGTACTCTGATTTGGTACTCACAAGAACCCTCATATAGGTTAGTCATATTTGATCATTACTAGGAAACATGCCCGTGCGTTGCAACGGAAGAAAAAAAATCGTATGCCCCTATCCTCCTTGCACATAGATCCACATCACTTACTTGCAAGGATATATGGCCACAAATGCATATTCAAATTAAGAACGATCAAAATGCATATTATTTATCTTATATATATTTCATACAGGGAAAATTCAACCTTTGAAGAAAATGAGGTGAAAGAGTTAACTTCTGGAATGAAAGTCAAAGCCAATTACCTTTTGGGGCAATGTATTATTAAAGTATATCCATACAACTTGCGATGTGATCATGAGAGAACAAGGTTGAATAATGATTTTTTTTATCAAGTAAAGAAGGTGAGAACAGTGCTCAAAACTCAAGTGTGAGATTATAGACAACATACAGATTGCCTTATTCCAACTGAAGAATATATGTACCAATGAGATCGATCTCCATGCTACACCAAATTATCAATTCATCAATTGATTGTACATTGCATATCAATTTACTTGCCTGAAATTTTAAAAAACCTGACTGGTGATGAACTAACCGATTCACACAAAGAGCTACAATCAGAGGAAGTGGGTAAGAATGGCAATTAATATAAATGGCAAACAACAATCTAACAAAATAGTACAATACTTATAGAAACTGGCAACGAATTTGGAATTTAATATTTTATTGAATGGAAAAACCCCTCCGCATTATTAGTGATGCCAATCCTGAAATAAGATAACAACTTGAAGAACAGAGAAAACTAATTTATTTGGAGCTCGTAGCTCAGAACACAAATTGCAGTTTCCAGCCTGAGAGATAGACACATGCCAGTTTCCCTCACATGTGTGACCTTCAGAATATTGCATTGCTCTCATTACCAAAATGAGGGCATCAAATATTTAACCTGCAAACCAGAACATGTGACAATATCTATGAAGAGCTGCATCTACTTCATTTCAATGACATATTGATTAGGAGGTAGTAGCATGCAACATATACAAATAAAAGTTTTGCAGTGCGACAAGCGCCACCTCCCCAAAATTCTGGAAAGCTCAATCTTATCGCACCTCCTCTTGGTCTTCCCCCTGGACTCCATCTAAGACAGCTACACGGCCGCCCGGGCGATCATTACAGCGAATGACACTGACTCAAGTTCACTCGACACCTTCTACTCCACGCTCAACTCAGCGAGACTCGGCCAACTCAAGTTGTTATCAGCAAGCCTTTGTGTGAATCGGTTAGTTCATCACCAGTCAGGTTTCAGTAACACATTTCAGTTTCACAAAATTATAATTCACCAGTCCAGTGAACATGTTGCACATTTCAGTTTCACAAAATTATAAACATATCCTGAATATTTGATGATTTTGTACTAACTATACAGTACGATAGAATTACAAAAAGAAAAGTAAGACACTAACGGACTAACCTGCATGTCCTTGGTTTGTTCACTCTGTTTGCTCTGAATTGCAGATTACGTTTACAGCCACATAGTATCACGTCAAATGTCTCATGAATTAAGATCACAAAACTTCTCTAAAAAAAGAACATCACAAAACTCTCATGAACAATATGAGGTCATGCAGGATGCAACCAACCTTGGGTCGCTCGGGAAATCAAGCAAGATGTGTTATCCCTGGTCATGTTCTTGGCCGGCCTCTGTTGCTCCGCTCTCGCCCAATCATCGGATAACTGAAACCACACAAACCTCTTGAATTCCAACTCTAATCCGCCACCATTGGTCACTATGTGTGGCTCGACATGTGACGGCGTGCGTCCAGCAAATCCCTGCAGCTCGCCGACCCAAAACCCACCGCTGCCGCCACAATCTCCTAGCTGCACTATAGTCCAAGAAATTAGAATCTCGCACCATACGTAATCAAGAGCAGAGATACGGAAGAATTCAAATACTTGGGACTGACAAACGACGACAATCCTGATTCGAGACTTGGGCTTAGCGGCTTGCTTCGAAATGTCTATAAAAGAGCAACCTCTATAAATGTCTATAGAAGAGCAACCTCAGTATAAACGTCTATGAAAGAGTTCAAATACAGAAGTTCATATAATACTACGAAAGAGTTTCAATAGAGGTTCTGAACTTCAATGTCTTAAAATTATTACTTCTTGATACAGCTGCCTGAAATTAACAATAAGCGGGTTACAATATGAAATTCCCAACAGAAAAGATTAAGTGGTCATGCACACACACAACTCACTTCAACAGTTTTCGACCAGCTAGTTAACATGTGAAGCTGGGCTGCCTGTTCTTCAAGATATTTATTATATCTCCAGGCCCATTTCAGCATATGATGGAACGATTCTTTTAGCTCTCCTTTCTCAGACTCGCTCAATTGTGTGCGCAGTTCTTGAGACATCTAAACATCAAGAGAAGCAACTTGAAGAACATAATAATCTCAAACCCAATATGAACAAGACTGAACAAGCAACCTAGATAAGCTTTTGATGGAACACATCAAGATCAATCATTCAATCACCTCTCTCCGAAAAATAATATACACTACCAAATTCAGATGTTGTAGAATTCCGTAGGATCTCTTCAATCTAAGAATCAAAAAACTGATGAGATAGAAAAAACAAAATAATAATTTCACGGGTTCAAATGCACACCTTCGATTCAACTCTCAGATTGGAAAGCAGCTGAGGGTATTTCATTGAAGTGTATGGACATCTGAACTGGACAACTTCAAGCAATTACAAAACCTAAAAGGGCAACCTGGTGCATGTAGCTCCCGCTTGCGCAGGGTCCAGGGAAGGGTCCGACCACTTTGGGTCTATAGTACGCAGCCTTTCCCTACATTTCTGTAAGAGGCACATGAAACAAATAGCAAATAAGATTTTCCAGTGGACAAATTGTCAAGACATCTTTCTCTCACTGTTAATGAATAAAAAGTTTAGCAAGTCTGGATACTTCTAAAGTTTTGTGGTGTCTTGAATGGTGAACCATTCAGGACTGCTCCATGTGCAGGTATGAGTTTTATTAAGTTCGGTGAAGCATTTGCGCTTCAAGCCACATCTGACTCCGTCATTCGCTGTTCAGTGGCTAGGCCATCAATAATCCCAAATCCACTGCCAAGTCTAAAAGGCAATGTGTCTGATGAATCCAACAACTGGCAGCGGCAAAAACCGTTGAAAAATTAAACAAGAGCGCCACCGACATAAAGATAAATATAAGAGGAAAAGGCATTTATCTCTACCCTTATCAGGCAGCTAATATTCAGATGCAATTAAACAAGGCAATCCTAGGAACACTTAGGTTAGAAAAGCAAGTCAGGAGCACAATTAATTATCTCTACTCTCATATGTAAGCAATGATAGCAGGCAAAAACTATGCTCTTTGATTGCGAAGCAGAATGTTGCCCATCTGGAATCAATGAGTGATGCGCCATAGAGAGGGCACTTCTAGTTCTAGTGCTTCAGGGGTTGGGTTTTTAGCGTCAGCAGCACCATTAGGAAAATCACCTGCATCGGCCCCGGAGAAGAACCCACCGCGGCCGTGGCGCCCGGAGAACACCTTGCGGTTCTTGGCCACGACGTCACACGCCGCCTCCGCCGGCATCCGGCGCGCGAACAACGCAGCCGCCAGGAACCATCCGGCGCCGGACCCTGCTTGAAGTAGTCCACTACGCGGGCCTCGGGGTTCCCGGACAGCTCCCGCAGTCAGCGCTCGAGCCTGACCAGCACGGCCGCGGCGAGCGTGCCCCGCAGAGCACGCCCCTGCCGGCTCCAGCGCCTGCGCGCCAAACAGGAAGTTGGACTCGTGGATGGAGAAGATCTGCTCAACGGCCCGACGCCGTGCTGCCCCGCAAGCCCCGGCAAGGCGGCTTTCATCCCCGCCGCATCGTGGTTGAACGCCCGGCTCAGCCCGCCCACACGTCGCGGCGGCTCACCCTTGGGCGCCCTGTCCGTGCGTGCGCCGGCCTCGACGCCACCGGCAACGGCCCGACGCCGTGCTGACGCGCCCGAGCCCAGGCGAGGAAGCCTCCATCCCCTGCCGCATCGTGGTCGCGTCGTCGTAGCTGTCGCCACCACCACGGACGTCGTCGCACAGCCGCAGCCTCCGAGTTCACCAGCCGCCGGTGCCCCCGTCCTCCCTGCGACCGGCGCCGCGACCCTCTACCTCGCGGACAACGACGACAGCGCCACTATCGACCGTCTCGGGCCGCCCCTCGCCTCGCTCACGTGGGCCGCAGACAACCCCTGCCGCGACGCCTCGTTCTATTCCTGGGCTTGGACGGCGCGTACTCCCGGTGGTGGAGAACGGGAATGGATAAGCTGCCGGTGGAGGATAGGGGGTTTAACGTAAAAATGAAACGTTTTCTAAACTTAAAATAGGACTGCGGGTTGATTTCATGTAAACTTATGAGCTTGTTTGCAAAACGGCCACGATGACGGACGACCAGAAGCATTAGCTGCTTTATTAGTAGAGAAAGATTATTTGGCTGTGCACCTGATCAAAATTGAAGTGACGAATCCTACTTTACATTACAAAAAAAGACACTACATATGAGAGTAAGGAACAAAATCAATAGACTGCTTCTGTCATGTTAATAGCTCTCACACAAAGGTGATGTTGACGGACCCGTGCCGCAGAGTCTCCCTCGCCCCTGTCGATGCCGTGTTGCAGCCGCGGCGCTTAGGAGCTGGACCCGGACACAAGCTGCTCAACATCTCCCTTAACTCCGTCGACGCCGTGCTGCAGCAGCAGGTACGCGGCGGCGTTCAGGAGCTAGAACACAAAGCTTCTCAAGGTCTCCCTCGCCTCCTTCGACCCCGTGTTGCAGGGGCGGGTACACGGTGACGCCGTGTCTTCTTATCCGATCCTCTTCCTTTTTCCTCCGAAAGTGTCGCGTCTTTTCGTTCTTTCCACCCTGAATCCAGGTGCGTACCTTCCCCTACGTGGGCGCTGTTTTTCTCATCCGACCCAATCTCTTTCTTTTTCCCTCACATAAGCGTGTCACGTTTCTCCCGTTATTTTTTTTAAACACAATACAGACGTATACACTTATATACAAGCGCATACATTCACCTCTATAAACGCACACCCTACCACCTCCCCCGAGAGACTGAGCCGTCATACCATCTTAAGATTTAATCGGTCTTCCTGGAGCGCGCACTTTTCCGTTCTTGATTATATCAATTTTCTCTTAATTACTTCCCTTATTCTCAAGGCGGCTTGCTGATTGCAGATCATAGACATATATAAATTAGTGGAATAGATTGTAAAGGGGCGAGGTGATATTATTTAATAAGGCACATAACGAATCCCTGTTTCGCACACGATCAGGACTTGGCTCAGTTGGATTGATAGAAGCAACTAGTACTTTATTAGTAGGTAAAGATGTATGGCTCGGGGTTGAAAACTATAATTTGACTATTTGAATTCTATGAAATCGAGGGATACCCTATATTTGCAGACAAATATATTCAGTGACTATCAAAGTGTTTCTCATGTGCACAAGAATTTAGATAAGTTCATGCAACTTTCAAGATAATAATCCTACCCATGTATTTATTGTATTGATCTCAAGAGATTCAACACATACAATGGCATGTGGTTTAAGCCATTAGGATTGGTTTTTTTTCTCGAAAAGGATTAGGACTCGTATATGGGCTTCGAGCATTCCAACTTCGTTTTAGGACACACATGTGAGTGGGAGTGAATCCAACATACAAATGCTGCAGATACATGAAACGACTCTTTATTCATACTAGCAAATATGCAAGTGCATTGCAACGGAAGTGAAAAAAATCACCTCTCATACACACTCTCGAGACATCAGTAAATCTCTTGAAATCGTGAACGATGTCACATGAAAAACAAAAAGATAAGTGATGTTGCGCAAAAACATAAAGACGTGATGATTTTTGAAGTGTATTCAAGGGTGTTTCCAATTTAGACAATATAAATATCTATCTAGTTGCAACTATCTCTTTTCGCATTTGTTGTCGTTCCTCCTCGGTGGTGCCCAACAAATATTTGCATTACGATGAAAATAGCATTTGCAAAAGAGCATTATTTTTGCCTCCTTAATATATGTTTTTTTTTGTAGTCCAAGTGAAGTATTAATTTGGTCGCAAACATGTTAGACAACTCCATCGAAAACAATCAATTTGTAAGGGCATGCATACCAAATGTTCAAGGTTGCATATCAACATCGATATTCTCAAGAAAAAAATTATGGAAACAATTTAAAACAATATGAAAATTAAAGTCAAGCTATTGGTTTACGTAAAGCTTGTATCAGCAACATTGTACATTTTTCTACATCGAAAACATTTTTATATACATGCTTAATACTTACCAATTTCATGGTTAACATTTTTCATAACCTATATATTTTTTATGTCTACTTCTTTTATACACATTCTACTTTTTTGTATACATCAGGAACATTTTTTACATACACGTTTAATAACATGATACATGACAATATTTTTGAAAACATGTAATTTTTATGTCTACTTTGTTCCATACACAGTGTATATGTTTTTGTATACATTTTTTTTACATTTTTTTAAATGTACGATTAACATTTACTAAAATATATTTTTATTTTTCTATACACATTGTACTTGTTTGTATATAATGGAAACATTTTCTCTGTACAAGCTTGACATTTGTTTAATGCATGATTAACATTCTTTTAAAGTCCGCATATGAGCTATTTTTATAATTAAAATATTTATAGTATTTCGAAATAAAGCCAAAAGAAGAAAATACAAAGCGAATGTAAAATAAGTGAAAAAAGTAAGAAAAAATAAGTGTTGTAGGCCGCGTTGGGCTGGCCCAATTAGGCATCTTATCTAATAGAGAAAAGGAGAGCAAAAAGCGAAGATTCTGCGGTCGAACCTGGGTCTCATAGGTGGGAGCACTAGGGTCCAGCCAGTCAGTCCGGCCATGCAGTTGTGATTTGTTGGTGGGTTGACTCCTTATTGTATCAGAAAGAACGGCCGACTTAAAGGGAAAAAACCGAATCGTATTTCCCACCTACCGGTGGCATAGGTGGGTATTCATGCGAACTCCAGGGGCAAATTACGCGACGGACGACCAGAAACCCAATTTTTTTATTATTATATATATATATATATATATATATATATATATATATATATTAGGTAAAGATAAAGATAAAGATTGTGCCACATGCCCGAGGATGTATACAATATTTTCCATATAAATTAAAATTGATAGTATGTGTTGAAACAATAGTACACATTTGTATTTTTGTGGGATGGATATTATTGTTATTTCCAAGGATCAATCATGTACAATGCCACGTTGTTTCAACCAATAAAGAAAGATTTATGCTTATACTGAATTAAAATTTATATTCGCTGGGCATTAAAATATTAT